CATATATATATATATATATATATATATATATATATATATATATATATATATATATATATATATATATATATATATATATATATGCACCAAACGCTTCCTTTACATTAACTCTTTATTACTTCTGCCTCTCCCGGTTCTAACACCTCTCCATATAATACCAAATTTTAAAACTTTTTCTTTTTTTACATAAAAAGTAAAAACATTTTTTTATTATATATGCATTCCTAACTGTGGGTGAAAGCGATGAATGAATAAATGAATGATCTTAATTTATTTAATGTTCAAATTAAAATTTGTTACATGTTAGAAATTTAGGAGGATGAACGCTACGAAGCGGCGTTGAAGAATTAATAAAATGAAGAACAAGAATTACAACTTGATAGTTTAATGAATCGTGAATATGCTTTCAGATCAAATTTATTTCATGGTATGCAAAAAGACTTCAATCGGATATGACGTTAATCATGAATAAGCCTTTCGAATCATTTCTCAACCGTACCCAACGGCTCCTTTTGTAGAGTTGAAGATTTTAGCGACCTGACATGAACGTTCGTGTAAAGGAAGCGATCGTTCGTGCAACAGGGAGAGAACTGGACTTTTGGTAAAGGCCGCAAGTGTTCGTGCGAGTTTTCCTTTCGGTTTTTGGGTTGATATTAACGTTTACCGAATCTCTAAGGGTTTCGGGCTCTGTTCAACTCGATCTCGGTCTAAGGCTCTGTCCCTTGGACCCCTCCCGGGGCTGCTGCCCCTTGGACCCTCGCTATGAACTTGTAATATCGTTGAACGAGTGCACACTCCGTGCCTCCTAACTCGTCTGACAACGTCTATTCAAATTATTGTATATATGCTCAAAAAATAAATTGTGTCAATGTAATCTTTCTCAATAAAACTAAAGGCTCAAAAATTGGCAATGACATGCATGTAACTCATATATTTTTTTTGTAGGACAAAGCCCTAGAGTCAACTTTAACTATTTAGGAAGTCAAAAATTGGATGGAGTCCAAAGGGGAAGAGAGAGATTGCCTGGGTGCGAGGGAAGACAGGTTTGGATGGTTGCCCAACCCGACGCAACGTGTCCATGTGCACAGTGTTTTCGGCTTTTAGCTTAGCTGGGAGATGGACGGATGGATGGACTTATTCTGGTAACCCATTGGCCGCCCATTAATGTTTGTGGAGGATTGCCCGGCCCGGGTCGGACACCACCGTCAATGTGTGTGACCTTTTTTTTTTTGCTTCTTTGGATTAGGATTACATCAACCAACTACATGATGATGATGATGATGATGATGTTTTCCATTCAAATTGGATGGGCCACTCTCACTCACAAAGATTGATCCAGAAAAGAATGAGCCCCAATTTCCGAGGGTCTTTTCAGACTCGGCCGGACAGTCACATAGAGAAGGTAAATTGGATTCCGGTCGCAGATTGATGGCAAAAACTGGAGTCTTACCCCCTTGACATTCCTTGCCTTGTCAACTACGCAACGCCCACCGGCAGAAGGATTGGGGGTTGTCATAAAAAACTTATACATTTTCTTTTATGTCATCTGAAAAATAAAGTTTTATTTTTCTATTTTTGGAAATAATTTTGTGGTCATTATAATTTTTCTTTTATTTGTATCACTTTCTAACACACAATTTCATTTTTTTTATTTTTTCTTAAGATAATTTTTTCTTGTAAGCATCCTCTTTAAACAAATTTTTTTGGGACATTCAACCACACCACCAAACAAATATAGTCGATAGAATTTTTTTACCCATTACCGGAAATATAGTCGATAGAATTTTTTTCTTGTCTCTCTATTTTTTCCCGAAATGGCATGACAAATTATTTTTTTCTAATAACTCGTACTATTTTATCCTAAAAAGACGTAACAAAGTTGTGAATCGTTGCATTTTTAAAACACACGCAAATCTTTGACAAGAACGTATTGTTATGTTTTTTCAAACATAATTTCAAAGTTTAATTTTTTTTGTTATTGCTAAATCTACTCACATTTGGCTAAATTCACTCCATTTATGAAAATTAGACAAATCTATATCCTTAAATAAGTTAACATGTCTTCTTTTCTTTCTTACACTTTTAGGGATAAATTTGTACATTTCTAACAAATGGTGTAGATCGAAAGCAGTGTATATATTGAAAAAAATATTACTCCGTATTATATTTACGCTCTGAATATGTAAAAAAAAGCACATTTTTGCTGCAATTTCATAGTCAAGATTTCATCTTATTCTTTTGAGTATTCTATAACTTGTAAATAGTCCATATGATCATAAGAATGAATGTTTGATATAGGAACTCCATGGCCTTCATGTAATGAATGTTATTGAAGAAAGTGATTCCATATGAGATTTAAAAAACTCTTCCCCATCACAGCAAACAAAAAAAGGATTTCAAAAGTTCATTTTACATTTATAAATAACAAATGTTGGGGAAAAAATCCCTTTTGCACTCTGCAGAATTGCCAGAAAACAAAGCATTTCATCCATGCCAAAATCATGAGCAGGGAAAACCCATGTGAATGCTCTCAGGGCTGAGAAAAGGAGAACTTGAAAGCACCTGCCTTTGAATCTGCCACTGATTCCCAGAATGAAGGCTTCTTTTTATTACTACACTCTTTTGCCATTTTCTCCTCTGCTAAACCTTGGATGAGTCCGGGCCGAGACGCTTCGATGGCATTCTTGAACTTGTCGTGCAAATTCACCCGGTCGTCCGTACCCGACACCAGACTGCGCGCGTTTGGCCGTCTCAGAAAATCCAACACGTTCAACAAATTCCTACTGAAAAAAGAATGAGAGAAACGGATTTAAAAATGTCAGAGAAATCATTCGAATGAGTTTGTTACTCATTCATGTCAGCAATGTTCATAATAGCCTAAGTTTAGGATATTTTAGACTATTCATCATAAACCCTTTTGTTGAAAATCAAGGAGGAAATAGAAATTTGAGCATTTTTTGTAATCAACCCAATTGTTCCTCAAAATTATTTAGTGTACTCCATAAATGCTAAAGCCACAAAAGGAAATATATAAACTAAGCTATTTCACAAAACTGCTTTTAAAAGCCACTCCAAGCATATAAATAAGATATTTATGGGTATGAAACTGGAAATATGAATACCTGCTTACGAAATTCTGTGTAATAGCAATTGAATCCTCCAGATTGATGACCAAATGCCACCATCCGTTAGGCACGAATATCACTTCTCCTGCATTACAAACACACTCGATCGGCTTCTTCTTCCAATTTCTTGTTTCTGCATAGAAGTTCATGAACCACTCCATGATGGAAACCGGGCTCGCAACTTCTGCTCCATCTGGGCTAGGATGCACCCCTGGTGGGACCACGTCAGGTGGAAACAACACCCATTTCTTGGAACCCTTGATCACGGCATTCCAAGCAGATGTTGAATTGGGATCTATGTGGAATGAGGATCCGGATCCAGCTGGACCGATTATGATCCATCTGTAATCTGGCCTTTCCTTCCCCAAAACACTAAACAAGTCCTCATTAAAATATTCAGGTACATCATAATCCAATCCCAACTGTGGAACCTTCTCTGCAAACTTTGGGTCAAATAGATACAACAGTCTTTCTTCCTTTGCTTGATCTGAGTACCTAAAGTAGTCCTCGAGCTTCATTTCCACGGGCCCAACCGCAAACTTCACATCACCACACATTTCAACCAAACAATCCCTATCCCATTTTTTGAATGCAACCCATTTATCCAAACACCCTTCCAACAATACCGGCCTGTTGGGCTCTTCAAAATTCAAAACAAATTCGTCAACGGAAATGTTTTTTCTTCTAAGAATAGTATCCCTCTCAATCCATTCAGGTTTCATTTCGAGATTCGCACAAAGCCAGCTCTGGAACAAATAGTCTGAATAAAAGTCTCTAACTCTTAACCCACTACTGAGAAAATTAAAGGAAGGGTTAAATCCATTAATGTAAGTACACTTCCAAGACTTGTTATAAAAGAATCCATCTTTACAGCCCTCCAAAACAAGATTCCTCCAAAGGGGCTCATGGTTACATAAAACATAGAAAGCTTTACTCACAGTGGACAAAACACCCAAATGGGTACCTTCCAGAAGGCCAAGAATGTCAAGAACAAGCTCATCGGTAAGGATCTGGAGATTTCCCAGGCCAGAGTTTCTTGAATTATGTGATGATGAACTGAAGTAGAGGTTGCCCAGAGGCTGAACTCCATGAGAGTGCGATGGCGCTGAACCTTTCAATCGAAAACCGTCTTCTTCCTCGTCCGTGAATTGCTCGTCTTCTTCCCAAGAATCTGGTTTTCTGGAAAACAAAGCTGGCTTTTTTAATGCGGGTTTCTTCTTGCGGGAATTCTTTCTCTTCTTGAAATGGCTCCTGAATAGTATGTTCTTGGAAGACAGCATTGATTCAGGAAGAAATGAACAAGGAAGAGTGCTGCTCTAATCTAATCCTCGGCTAAGAGAAAAAGAATATAGGCAGATTTTCGCTTCGGCGACAGTCGATAGAGATCCGGTTCGAAAACCCTAATTCCAATTCTCACGCAAACAGCCTAATGTAGCATACTCCATTTGATTTTTTATGATCAAAATTTATAAAAATTGATCTTCATATACAAAAAAGATATATTACTCTCTCTGTCCCTATTATGATTACAAAATAAGAATTGAGAGGTGAAATCTTATGATTTTGAAATTATTTTATTTACAAATTGTTACATCAATAAAAAAATAAAAATTACATAAAAAAGTATAAAAAATAAAAGATGACAGGAATATTTTATTTTATCGAATAGTCAATGAAAACACACAAACAAATAAAATTTATCGAGAAGAGAGAGAAAATAAAATTGTAATCAAAATAGGAAAAAAGATAGTATGTTCTAATATAAATGTAATATCAATAGTGTTTCTAAAACATACGGAGTACTTTTGAAATAGTAATCTTTTTTTATAAAATACTCCGTATGAAGTATATCGTTCTAATTTGAAGACCATGAAAAACCAAATAAAAAGATTAAATTCAGACAAAAAGTATTACTCCATCTGTCTCTTAAAGTTTTTCTCTTATTGAAGTTTTGAAAATTTAAGAGAGGATATTTTTGTGATGACTTTTCAAAAATATCCTTGATGTGATGTATAGATTATTAGCAAAAAAGTATGATGTGATACGTAAAATAAGAATTGGTAGAGATAAAATTAATTTTTGATAAAAAAAAAAGGGGAAAAGAGAGTGTGGGACAAGAAAAAAAAGAAAGGAAACAGAGTTTAAGGAACGGGAGAATAGTTAAGAGGAGCTCAACTAGAAATAGCGGAAGAGTTGGACCCACCTGATCATTGAAACAGATTGTGAGTATTCTGATCTACCAATAGCAGTAATTAGTTTTATTATTGATAATTATAAAATTCACAAGCTCATTTGTGGTAGAGATCCGAGTTTTCGTTTTGTTTTTTGCTTTCTTAATGAAATTAGAGTAATGCTTGCATAATCACAAGATCCACGTGAATATTTTTACCTTTTTCATGGGCTTTACGTGTGGATATGTTTTTTTTTGCAAAAAGTCCACCTTTTTGTGTTACAATATAATAACGTCTATAAAATGAGCATAAATCTTAAATCCACGAATAAATTTCTCATATAATCGGGCATGGTTTCTCAGAGGGAGTGAGTTGATTCACCCATTTACATACTTTATTTCTAACTCAATTTAATTTAAGAAAAAAGAATAAAGTAAGATTAAAACATAAAAAATATATCAAAATAAGAGTTTCGTACTTTAATTCCTAAAATAAAAATTAAAATGCATATACAATCTCAATTATGCCAATATACATTACCAATAAGTATTGTGAAATGTGTATATATAATGTAACATTATCACAGTACAAACTCCTATTTTGGGATAAAATATGGAACTGTTTTGATACTTTCTATCCTTTTTTAGGGTAATTTCTTTTTAATTATAGTGCTCCGTATTTCTTTTGGTTTCAAAAAAAAAATTGTGTGGCATTCATATGTGTATGGGTTATCTTAGAATAACTCTTCACCTATGTTTTTAAAGGAACACCAAAAATAAAAGATAGAGGGGCAAGTGATCCATTACATCGAATCAGACATTATTTTTTATATATATAAAAAAAAAGACGCGCTACTTAATGTAATGTGTTGTAATATTCACATTTTGGCACCATTTGGGAAGACAAAAATGATACCTTCAGAATTTTGTACTTTGTACAAAATCTACATACTAGTTGTGTGTGTGTGTGTGTGTCAAATTCTTCACAATACTAGGTGTAACAACAACAATTACACTCACTAATTGAAAATTAGCAGAGCCACAAAAGTACAAGGTTGCACCTGACATTAGTGAATCTAGCATTTCACCCAACATGATCAACAAAAAACCCCATCTCATTCTAACACATTAATGAAGTGAAAGACACAAAAAGAAATAATGAAATGTCCGAAAATGAGAAAGAAATCTGACTAAAACCCGGCCCTCAGAGCTGCATTTACATTTTCGATAGCCTGAAGATTCGGTCTGTCATAATGAATGAGTATATGGAAACAAATTTCAAACCTGTGTGCTGAATATACATATCCACTGACCCACACGAGGTCCCTTGTCTAAAAGCATCAGCAAGCCTGCACTATTCCCCGCCGTTCCAAACATGTACCTGAACGCAGAAGAATCAAGAAAATGTATGAGCTCAGGACCTCGTTTGGCATCAGCGTTAGAATTTTGAAAAGACTATATCTGACCGTAGCCTTTAGCGTTAGTGTCTTTAGAATTAATTTACACCATTAAAATTTTATCCAAAACGCTAACGCTAATAGAAAACATTGTTCCCAAACAAGGCCTAGGTTAATCAACAATGGATAATACTGCTCTTAGCTTTGTTCTGTTGCCAAATTCAGAGTAAGTGTTTTGGTGGACTTGGATAATATCTTAATAAATACTCTGTAAAATGTTTTTCAAACAACAACAAACACAATGAAATTCAACAAAAAGTAGGCTCTGGGGAGGATGTGTGTGCGTAGATTTTACTCCTAGAGATGTTTTTTAAAACAATTAAAAGATTATTGAAATGTTATAGGATTACAAAATATGTCAATCTTTCACTTTTTATACAACCTCAAATATTTACTCTGCATAGATTAGGAAATCAACTGAGACATCCAGAACCTTCCTCTCCAAAGACTTTATTTAATGTTCAAACCCCAGGGTTGCACTCATGTATAAACTCGAAATTTACAATATGAGGGATTTTGTGTGTCTAAAAAAGTGCCTTGCTGATAATACTAATTTCGTTTAAAATATGACTTGTTTTCGAAATGGGTAGTAAATCATCAGCACAATGAATTCAGAAATCAATGTAGTAAATGATCCACTCACTTGGATCGACGTGATTTTCTTCTCCATAGCACAGAGGAAAACATCCACTGCAAACCACAAATTAAAAATACAAGTTGTTGCTGAGAAGAATATATATCAGACCATATGTTGCATAGGATAATATGAGTAAATGCAACAACCAACCCACACATCAAAATTTGCATTTACTGAGTTGCTGATGTATGATGAAGAAGTTTAAACTCATGTGAGGCCATTAAAAGAGAGACTGCGACCTATATTTATGATTTATCTAATGTTCCATCAGTCACAGATATGAAATTGTGGAAAATTAAGTTATCCAGCACAGAAAAGAAACAACCAAACCTTAGTGACAAATGATTGGAATTGAAGTCGGCTAGCTGACCCAATAGAAAATGCTACACGATTGGAACATGGAAAATGGTAGTGAAAAGAAAAAAATGCCAAGAAAAATACTTTCATTACCCTTCACCTAGGAAAATATGAAACAAAACAAAAATTGACAAGAAAAAAAAAGAGTAACATATACTAACATTTCTAAGCCTTTATATGATAGAACTGTAGAAATATATACATAAACAAATATAAGTTTTGAACAAATATATGTACTACATACAATGGATTTGTTAAGGTTAAACCAATTATTTTTCCCTGAAAAGATGGAGAAATTTATGTGGAATCGACACGAGCATATTCTAAGGGATTACATACCAGTTAGCACTACCACTTTCCACTCTTTATAACATTAAAAAATGGATGAGACACAAAGTGATAACAAGTTCAAAACAAATATGCAATGGTAAATACTATTGATCACTGGTCATTACTTCATTAATACCTTGAATAATGACATGATAGAAAAGCTGCGAACTGGGGAAGGTTTCCTTGTGAGCATTCTCTCTGGCCGTGACATGTCCTTGCACAGGTGTTGCGCAATCTCTTTTAGCAATACCACTTGTGATTTATCTGTGCTCATTGATATCAGTGCCTGCCTCATTGACTCTCTATCGCCCTCAAGTGCATGAAGCCTAGCATACAACTTCTTGATATCAACATCTTCAGTGTTAGTATATATCAATGAATCCCTTGGGGTATTAATATAATCCTCACATATTCCAACAGATGCCTTATTATTATTATTATAAGTTCCTGCTCCGAGATGGATGGAATCAATTGTGTAAACCCTGTCACTCATACAATCTTCAACTTCTGATGCATTCTCCACTTTCCTCAAGTTTGAAAACTCTTCTTTTTGCGGAAATTCCATCTTCCTAAAGCTTCCCCCAAACTTTGGAGACTCGGTTATGGGATCATAGTTATTCGTTACCCAGAAAGACCCTGCACTATCGGATGAAAACTTCTTCAAATGCCTTGGCCTCCTTGGAGATTGACCAACTATCACCTTTTCAAGAACATTGTTCTTATAGAACTGATCACCATCAGGATGACTGATCGTTGGACTCCTCTCGAGGTGGTTGATCCTGCTCTCCAAATCCAGGAAATGGTCACGGGTGCGCGGAGTTTCCCCGAATGCATATTTCTCAACATCCACAACCTCGTTATCGGCCTCAAAGTAAACTTGATTCTCGTCCAAGCATTTTAGCGGAGGATAATCATAAAGAGGGACTTCGAGTTGCCCATTTGAAGTCTCGGAAACGCTATTATTCGAGCTGAAACGAATCCTCTCCTTCTCAATCTCTTCCTCAACCTCAGACTCAGTGAACCCTAGACTCATCATTCTGTGCTTATACATCTGAACCTCACATGTCAAAGCATGAATTGCTTGTTCCCTCTTGTACAACAGATCCTCCAGTAAAAACAACTCCTGCTGGTCATGTATCATTTTCTCCTCCGTAAACCTCTTGAATTGGGTAAATTCCATCTGAACCTCGGCCTTCTCTCTTTCAAGCCTCAGAATCATAGCCATGGCCTCATCCGCCGCCGAAGAGGAAGCATACCTCTCCGCATCCAGCTCCGTGTTCAAATCATCAATACTCCTCTGCTGGTTACTCACCATTTCACGAAGTGCCACGCATTCATTTCCTATATCAATCCGGGCCGTCAGAGGTAATGCCAAACCAGGAACCGGAAACACAGAATCCTCACATTCATCTGATTCCTGCTTCGCAGAGGAGAAGCATGTCCCGGAAACGGATCCGTCGATCTTCGAATAGCTTCCCCTGCAATCAAAGCATCGGGCGGCGGCCATACTCGTCGGCGGGGGGGGG